CTGCCTTGGCTCCCAAAGTTGCTGGGGATTACAGGTGGTGAGCCACCACTCCCGGCCTTTTTTTTTTTTTTTTTTTTTGTGTCTGGGAGGGATGGAGTTTGCTCTTTTGCCGTGGAAATGCACTGGACCTGATCTTGGTCAGCTGCCACCTTGCCTCCCTAGTGCAGTGAAGTGTTCCCCTGCGTTGCCTCCCAAATAGGCCTTGATTACGCGCCACCCGGAACGCCAGGTATTTTTACTGATATATATTTTGAGGAGTCGTGCTCTTATTGCCAGGCTGGAGTGCAATGGGTGACTCGGGTCGCTGCACCTGCCATCTCCCGGGTTCAAGCAGATTGCTCCTGCCTCAGCTCGAGTACTGGCATATGGCACCGCTGCAGCGCCTGCGCTAATTTTTTGTATTTTTTGTAGACTCAGGAGGCTGAGGCAGAAGAATCGTGTGAACCCAGGAGGAAGAGATTGCAGTGAGCCAAGATCATGCCACTACACTCCAGCCGGGGCAATAGAGTGAGACTCCAACTCAGAAAATAAAATTAAATTAAATCAAAATTAAATTAAATTAAAAATATATAGGCCAGGCACAGTGGCTCACAGCTGTAATTCCAGCACTTTGGGAGGCTAAGGTAGGAGGATCGCTTGAGGCCAGTAGTTCAAGACCAGCCTGCTAATAAACGCAGCAAGACCTTGTCTCTACAGAAAAAAAACCAAATTTAATTAGCCGAGCATAGTACACACCTATAGTCCCAGTTACTCAGGAGACTGAGATGGGATGACTCCTTGAGCTCAAGAGTTCAAGGTTACAGTGGGCTATGATCATGCCACTGCACACCAGCCTTAGACAGGGTGATAGAGTAAGACTCTGTCTCTTAAAAATAAGAAAAAATAAATAAATAAATTAATAAATAAATAAATAAAAGAAATAAATATAAGAGAAACAGATACTTTTGTTTTTTAAATATGATAGGTAACCCCTCTCTGTGCCCCTTCAGCACTTTTGGCATACCAGATATGCCACAGCTCTATTACAATGCATTGTGATATTAATATATGATAAATTAGACCATACTATAATTACTGGTTAACATGTTTGTCTCCCTACCAGATTATAAACTTTAAAGCATGTCTTGTTCATCTCTGTATCTCAATACAAAGCATACAGCAGAAATCAATAAATATTTGTTGCAAGGCTAACAAAATTGTTAAGATCCTGCAAAACAGAATCACATATAAAGGTCTAAGGTAGGCCTTAAGAAAGAATCCAGCCAGGCCAGGAGTGGTGGCTCATGCCTGTAATCCCAGCACTTCAGGAGGCTTAGGCAAGTGGATCACTTGAGGTCAGGAGTTTGAAACCAGCCTGACCAACATGGTGAAACCCCATCACACCTAAAAATACAAAAAATTAGCCAGGCATGGTGGTGGGCACCTGTAATCCCAGCTACTTGGGAGGCTGAGGCAGGAGAATCGCTTGAATCTGGGAGGTGGAGGTTTCAGTGAGCTGAGATCATGCCACCATACCCCAGTCTGGGCGATAGAGTGAGATGCTGTCTCAAAAAAAGAAAAAAAAGAATCCAGCCAAACTCCCGTTTTCAGAGATGGAAACAGAGTCTCAGAAACACTAAGTGACTTGGCTGGGCATGGTGGTTCATGCCTGTAATCCCAACACTTTGAGAGGCCAGGGTGAGAGGATCATTTGAACATAGCGAGACCCCGTCTCTACAAAAAAAATTTAGAAGTAGCCAAGCATGGTGGTGTACTGCTGGAGTCCTAGTTACTTGGGAGGCAGAGGTGAAAAGATTGCGTAAGTCCAGGAGTTCAAGGCTGCAATGAACAATGATTACACCACTATACTCCAGCCTGTGTGAGAGAGAGACTTTGTCTCTTTTAAAAAAACATGTTAGCCTGGCATGGTTGGTAGGCTGAGGTGAGAGGATCACCTGAGCCCAGGGAGGTCGAGGCTACAGTGAACTGTGATAGCACCACTGCACTCCACCCTGGGCAACAGAGTGAGACTCTGTCTCAAAACATACTAAAAATAAAAATAAAAGGAAACACTAAGTGACTTATTCAAGTTATCTAACTAATGACTATGGTAGTATAAAAACTTGGACATTCTGGCATTTGATTCATTGCCCTTCACACTACAACACTGATGAGAGAAAAATAACAGTTCAAATTCTATTCTTTTTTCCAAGAAATACCCAGATTTTTGCTTCATATTGAAAACATATGGTAGGAACTGTCCAACTATATAGTATATCCTGAAATTCAGATTTTTTTTGACTAGTAAAGATAACCATAATATTCTCAACTTAAAATTATCAAGTTGACTTATCTTGCTGGAATTAAAACTAAAGGCAAAGAAAAAAGAAAAAAATACAGAACATTTAACAAAATAATTCTACAAATATTTTTAACTATACAAGGGAAAACAACTAACTTGGTGACTTAAAATATGTCCGTTTCAAATTCTGCGCATATGTTTAGGAAAAAGTTTTGTTTTGTTTTGTTTTTAAAAAGCCGAGTCTCGCTCTATTGCCCAGGCTGGAGTGCCATGGTGCCATCTTGGCTCACTGTGACCTCTGCCTCCTGGGTTCAAGTGATTCTCCTGCCTTGGCCTCCTGAGTAGCTGGGATTACAGGCACCTACCACCACACCCAGCTAATTTTTGTATTTTTAGTAGAGACAGGGTTTCACTATGTTGGCCAGGCTGGTCTTGAACTCCCAACCTCAAGTGATCCGCCTGCCTTGGCCTCCCAAAGTGCTGGGATTACAGGCATAAGCCACCACGCCTGACTGCTTAGGAAAATCTTTAAATATGATATTAGGAAGTATTAAAGTATTAGATTATAAATTATCCTGGCCTAAAAAGATTATTTTATTAGACTGCTGAAATATGCCAATTTGATGATGTACTTTGAGTATTTTCCCTCTAAAATATCTACCCCATGTCAATTAAGACTTTTTAATATTGGAAAACAGTTAAACCACATACTACTAACTCACTTCACATATTAATATATAATTTCAGGCTGGGAACAGTGGCTCACACCTGTAATCCCAGCACTTGGGAAGCTAAGCAGGAGGATCACTTGAGGTCAGCAGTTCAAGACCAGCCTGGGGAACATAATGAAACCCCCCCCCCAATCTCTATAAACATTTAATTAAAAAAATAAAATACATATGTGTATATATATGATTTTACCTACCAATCTTGTTACGAAAACATTTACCATTCAAGTTAAAGACGTACTCACAAAACATTACATATTCCCACATATTTTATAAACATTTCCTCCACTTAACACCAAGCAAGATAAAAATACAATAAACTTAATGCTCTTTATTTAATTATAGTATTACTTATGTCACAGAAGAATTGTTTTAATTTACTGTTAGTTCTTTCATTCAACAAACATTTATTATGCATATGTTCTAGATACTACTTTAGGTTCTGGAATAAAATAAACAGGCAAAGTTCCTAGGACTGTTTTCAACACTGTATTCTCAGCCTCTAGCACTTACTAAGCTCTTAAATATATGTTGATCTCCCAAGTCACAGAATCGCTTTTTCTAACAAAAGGAAATTTCACTCAAAAAATAACAATCAACTTCGTTACATACCACTGATGTTAAGGTCATAATCTCCTGCTGTAATCACATTAGCTACTAATCCTTCTGCAGGTTGACTGCCAGAAACAACATCATTCAAAAGCTTCCGGATGGCTCCAGGCTGAGGTGGCTGGGTGACAATGTTGCTTACTGCTATCTTCAAATTTTTAATTACGTGAAGTTGATTATTAGGATCTCTCATATGAACTTTAAAGAAAAAAAGAAAAAAACTTGAAATTAATTCTATACAATGCATAATAACCCAAAATTGGGCTAATGGTTTACAAACAAAAAGGATGTACAAAGCAGAAGCCAGGAATTCCAAGTGGAACATTCTTCCAGAAATATAAATGGTTGACAACATTCCCTCATATACCAAAAGGGCTAGCTAGACAGTGTATTAACCGCAGGATTCCTTCCCCTCTCACCACTGCTCAGCTTTCCTACTGTAGGTCCTTTCCTTTCCTACTATGTTTGGAGTCGCCAGAAACCAACCACTTTGCCGACCACTTCTCTAATTCTCACCTCACACTAAAGCTGGTCCAAGGCAGCATAAGACCTGGGGTATTAACACTAAAAGCAGTAAAAGGAAAAAGAAAGGGGAGTTAAATGTTGCACTTAGGTTTCCTTCTGCTTTCCCTAGTCAGCCTGCATTCTTAGCCTCTTTTTCACTCTCATAAAAATCAATGGCCACTCCAGTGCACGATGCTGTGGTGGAGGCTGTGCATGTGCAGGGGCAAGAGATATGTAGAAACTCTCTGTACTTTCAGCTCAAATTTGTCATTCATCTAAAACTGTTAAAAAATAGAGTCTACTTAAAAAACACTCTGGCCAGGCGCAGTGGCTCATGCCTATAATCACCAGCACTTTGGGAGGCTGAGACAGATAGCTCGAAGTCAGGAGATGGAGACCAGCCTAGCCAACATGACAAAACCCTGTCTCTACTAAAAATACAAAAAATTAGCTGGTATGGTGGTGGTAGCCTGCAATCCCAGCTACTCAGGAGGCTGAGGCAGGAGAATTGCTTGAACCCGGGAGGCGGAGGTTGCAGTGAGCCGAGATTGCACCACTGCACCGTAGCTTGGGTGACAGAGACTCGGTCTCAAAAACAAAAAACTGTCCAGATCCCTTTTACCATCCTAATACTTCCTGCCTCCACCGTGCTATAGTCCTTGCTTCAGCCTATACAATTTATAACCAGTAAGTAGTTCAGAGCTTCAGGACAGGGAACAGGTTCTGAGGCACAGCAAGAAGACAGTTTCGTCCACAGAACCAGAAGAAAATGTGAGCATATTTTTTCACATAATCAGACAAAATGTTCCACAGTAGCATTAAAAGCAGTCCATTACAGGGCTGGGCACAGTGGCTCACACCTGTAATCCCAGTACTTTGCGAGGTCAAGGTGGGTGGATCACCTGAGGTCAGGAGTTCAAGACCAGCCCAGCCAACACAGTGAAACCTCGTCTCTACAAAAATACAAAAATTAGCCAGGCATGCTGGCGGGTGCCTGTAATCGCAGCTACTGGGGAGGCTGAGGCAGGAGAATCACTTGAACGAGGAGGTTGCAGTGAGCCAAGATTGCACCACTGCATTCCAGCCTGGGCGACAGAGTGAGACAACGTCTCAAAAAAAAAAAAAAAAAGTAACCCATTATAACAATTGAGCACCCAGCTTTTGGAGTTGGACCTTAATTTAAATCCCAACCCACTACTTATCAACTGGGTTACCCTGAACAACTTAACTCTTCGTGCTTCAAATTCCTCATCTGCACATGTGATTACTATCTACTTCACAGGATCATTTTAGGGATTGGGTGAGCTATTGTTAGACAGTAATTGTAAAGCACTAAGCACCACACTCAACAATATGTAATGGAGGCAGTATAGCAGCAGCAGCAGATACATCACCCATTCAACTGCATCACGGGTCATCATATACAAATAAGAGGCAACTTTGGGTAAGTGGTCTGGGTATCTACAAATAAAGAATGACTTTCTTCTCAATGGAAAATGTCTTATACCAAAATCGAGGCCTGCCTGTATTTTAAATAAAGTTATATCCACACAGACTTTTCTCAATTTCCTATGTATTCTATTGATTTCTAACATTTTTTACTTAAAAAAAAAAAAAAAAAGACTCAAAAACATTTTTAAAATACTGTATGTGGTACAAATGTGTATTTATATTGTAAATATAAATATATATACAAAAAAAATATACAAGCAGCCAGGCACGGTGGCTCACTGTTGTAATCCCAGCACTTTGGGAGGCTGAGGCGGGCAGATCACTTGAGGTCAGGAGTTCGAGACCAGCCTGGTCAACATGGTGAAACTCTGTCTCTACTAAAAGTACAAAATTAGCCGGGCATAGTGGCGTGCGCCTGTAGTCCCAGCTACTCGGGAGGCTGAGGCAGGAGAATCGCTTGAACACGGGAGGCGGGGGTTGCAATGAGCAGAGACCACGCCATTGCACTCCAGCCTGGGCAAAAAGAGCAAAACTCTGTCTCAAAAAAAATAAATAAATAACAAAATAAAGTTGCTTCATAATTGTCAAATAACATTAGTAGCCATATGTATATTAAACTTCGCTTTAACTACCTTTTGGTATTCATAAGTGTTAACCCAGGAAAAAAATTTTAATTAGAAAAAAAGTATTAACACAAAAGGATATTCTAGTTTTGCCCTATATTCAAGGTGGCTTTATCAGTTACTAGGTAATTCTGTGTAACCAACAGAAGACAGAAAAAACAATGGTATTTCACTTCTGAGGTAAGTTTTAAAAGCCTACGGCTTCCATCTTGGGTTCTCTCTTAATTATTTGTTTTGGGAGAAGCCAACTGCCACACTATGGGAACGTTCAGGGAGCTTATAACTGAGTGAGAAAACTGAGATTTCAGGCTAATAGCCAGTGAGAAACTGAGGCTTGCCAACAACCATACTAGTGAGCTTGGAAAAAGAACTTCCAGCCTCAGATGACTATAGCCCCTACTGACAGCTCTACTGCAACCTCATGAGAGACCCTGAACTGGAGCTACCTAGCTAAGCCACTCCCAGATTCCAGAGGAAGTGAGAAATAATAAATGCTTTTGATTTAAGGTACACATTTTTGGGGTAATTTGTTACACAACAGATAAGTTACACTGGGATATCAGAAACCCAATCTAATGAAGCAAGAGCAAAGAATGATTTAAGAGAAATGTGAAATGCTCTTAAGTCAGACACAAAAAATTCAAAAGCCTCAGGTAAATATATTTAGACTTCACTGAATTTATTTATCATATAACATCTCAATTTCAAAATGAAATTCAGCTCTACTGTTACATTTTTAAGTTCTTAAATACTGTATTTTAATACTGTATTTTGAAGTTATACTTCCCAGAATTTTCCATGGAATACTGGTTCCTTAAGAAAAGTAAAGAATGTTTCTGAATGATTCTATGTTCAAATAAATTTGAGAAATAGTGGATTAAGTCTTTAAAGGTCTCATTATAACAGGTCTTTCCAGAGTCCTTAATTGCTAAACCAAACTGTAATACTCCCAAACACATGCTACCTTAAGCAAACTTATTTCACCACAAAAATCTTTTTCAAGGGAGCACCTAAAACATCTGGTGTTTGTTTGATAAAAAGTATTTGGGGGCCACACATGGTGGCTCAAAACTCATGCCTGTAATCCTAACACTTTGCAAGGCTGAAGCAGGAGGATCATTTGAGCCCAGGAGTTCAAGACCAGCCCGGGCAACATAGCAAGACCTAGCCTCTATAAAAATAAACAAACAGGCTGGGTACGGGGGCTCATGACTGTAATTCCAGCACTTTAGGAGGCCGAGCCGGGCGGATCACGAGGTCAGGAGATCGAGACCATCCTGACTAACATACTGAAACCCCGCCTCTACTAAAAATACAAAAAATTAGCCAGGCATGGTGGCGGGCGCCTGTAGTCCCAGCTACTCTGGAGGCTGAGGCAGGAGAATGGCATGAACCCGGGAGGCAGAGCTTGCAGTGAGCCCAGATCGCGCCACTGTACTCCAGCCTGGGCGACAAGGCGAGACTCCGTCTCAAAAGATTAAATAAATAAAAAATAAACAAACAGGCTGGGCATGGTGGCTCACACCTGTAATCACAGCACTTTGGGAGGTCGAGGCAGTTGGATCACGAGGTCAGGAGTTCAAGACCAGCCTGGCCCATATGGGGAAACCCCCATCTCTACTAAAAATACAAAACCAGCCAGGTGTTGTGGCACATGCCTATAATCCCAGCTACTCGGGAGTCTGATGCAAACGAATTGCTTGAATCTGGGAGGCAGAGGTTGCAGTGAGCAGATTGCGCCATTGCACTGCAGACTAGGGCAACAAGAGTGAAACTCTGTCTCAAAATAAACAAACAAACAAACAAACAAGCAAGCAAGCCAGCCAGGTGTGATGGCACATGTCTGTAGTCCCAGCTACTCAGGAGGCTGAGGCAGAAGAATCACTTGAACTCGGGAGGCAGAGGTTGCAGAGAGCTGAGATCACATCACTGCACTCCAGCCTGGGCAACAGAGTGAGGCTCCGTCTCATAAATAAATAAATAAATAAATAAAATGTATTTTGAAAATAATGACACTTTTTATGCTTTTACCCAGCATATAAAACTTTATAAAGACAACAGGCTAGGCCAGGCGCAATGGCTCACGCCTGTAATCCCAACACTTTGGGAGGCCTTGGCGGGCAGATCACCTGAGGTCGGGAGTTCGAGACCAGCCTGACGAACACAGACAAACCCTGTCTCTACCAAAAATACAAAATTAGCCAGGCGTGGTGGTCCCAGCTACTCGGGAGGCTGAGGCAGAATTGCTTGAACCTGGGAAGCGGAGGTTGTGGTGAGCTGAGATCACGCCATTGCACTCCAGCCTGGGCAATAAGAGCGAAACTCCATCTCAGAAAAAAAAAAAAGCACGCTTTATAAATAAGCCTGTGATTATAGGCTTGAGCCACTGCACCCACTGTACCCAGTGAGTGGCTCAAGCTTGTACTCTCAGCACTTTAGAAGGCTAAAGCAGGAGGATCACTTGCACGCAGGAATTCAAGACAAGCCTGAACAACAGAGGGAGAGAGACCCCATTTCTTTTTTTTTTTTTGAGACAGAGTGTTGCTCTGTCACCCAGGCTGGAGTGCAATGGCGTGATTTCAACTCACTGCAACCTCTGCCTCCCAGGTTCAGGCAATT